GAACATCCAATGTTTTCTTTGAGAGAGTTTCAATTATATTCTGTGATCAGGAAATATTTTGGTAACAGACAGAAATCCAAATATACAGTATTATCACACTTGGGCGAAAACATTATTTCCTGTCTGCCTTTTGTGATAATGAAAGCAGGAGGTTTTGTGAAAGAATGAGATAAGAGGAAAAAAATACACTTCTTTGTATTTCCAGGCCTTCCTGACGTGACATCCCTCAGTGATTGATGGACACTCGTTTTGTCCCAAACTTTAAAAAGTCTTGTCCCGAGCAGCAGCAGCAGCAGCAGCTTTGTGTCCTTTTCTGTCCAACTGGATTTGTGTCTGACATGTCGGCAGTCTCATTCAGAGAGGCTCCTGTTTTACTGTTTGCCATCAGAAAAGCCTGAAAGAACTGGATACAGATGCGTGAACAATAATGCAGTCTCAGCAGAGCAGAGAAAAACTCACCGCACTCATGTTGGGGCAGCACATTTACATTTCTGTAAATCTTCTGTCAATTACTAATGTGCTACTCAGTAAATCCCTCACACACACACACACACACACACACACACACACACACACACACACACACACACACTGACAGCTGTTGGTATTAAGTGGCAGTGTGATGGATGAGGTTCAGACAGAAAGGCACTCATAACCTCCCCTTTATTTACCCTCCACTGACTGACAGCACAAAAGAGTTCACAACAAGGGAGAAACAGGTGGAGAAGAAAGACAAGGGAAAGAAAAATGAGACAGAAAAGTAAAAGAAATGAGAAAAGATTGAAGGACTATAAACACAAACGGATGGCATTAGTGGAAACAAAAAGAGTAAAGGAGAACAAAGACCCAGATTAAGAAGACAACAGGAGGAAACAAACAAGTGAAGAGGAGATTTAGGCCAAAACAATTCATGAAGTATTTGAGTTTAAAGCGAAACAGTTTCAGGTCTTTGTTTCATCCACACAGGAGCAGGGAGACTTGTTCCTGTGGAACAGAGAAACTGAAGCACCTGACCTCGTGGACAAAAAGCTGTCATTTAAATCAAGAAACCAGTGTAAACACAAAACTATGTAGAAGTTTGAACTCATGAATCCAAAAGCAGTTTGTTTGATCAGCATGGTTCTATGCTCATGAGACACTATCTAGACACAAATTTAAATAAGTAAAAAAATGCAGAATATTCATAATATATAAGAATTATGCATGTGTAATTCTCCTCTCTGACTATCAACAATCATGAATGTGTGTGAGCTGCACTGAGGCATTTTAAAATCAATCCTCATGTCATCTCTGTTTTAAAAACACACTGAAAAAAGAGTATTTACAAAAAATATCGAATTTTCAGAACTACTAAAATTTACTAAATAAACAATACACATTACATTATATATCAATATTACTGTACAAAAAAATAAATGCTAATATTATTTTACCAGTAATATTTAAGTATTTTTCTGGACAGTACATAAACATGAATATATTAAGTAACTTCTACTCTTCTGGGCTAAAGCTGAGGCTGCATGCACACACAAAGGCTGCTGCTCCTCATTCCCTTGC